CCACGCCTGAAAATAAAAGAAATCTTTTTCTAAAATACTGATAAACAACATCATAACGACTTACTCTCCATGAACGAGCTATATCATCCGTTAATTGAACTAAACCATATTGAATAGTAGCAATAACACCAACTAATGTCCACATTACGCCAGTTAATGTACCAATATATTCAGATGGAAAACTGAAATAGATATAAAGAAATGTAAGAACTTATTTCTAATAATGACAACTACTTACAAGGTTGCTACTACTGCTTGACTTCCACCCACAATTGTTGCTCGTCCAATACAATTAATTACCAATGCTGGAATAATCACACTTGTTCGAACAAACATACATACAATACATGCGACAATATTGAGAAGCCATGCTATAGTTTGCATTAATGAAATATTAAATAATTTGTTTCTTTTACCTGAACATAAAGACAATCAATGTTTTAATTTTAGAGAAAAAAAATTGATATTTTACTTTTATCAGCTTTAAATCCAAGTAGAAAACCGTTCAATGGACAAATAAAAATAGCAGCAACGGTAGATAAGTTTAATGCAAAAGTATATTTATTAGCTAGAAGAAAATAAACATCAGATATTAGATGATCATGTAGTGGAAAAATTGATAACTTACTCAATGGTGTATTTTGTTGTGTAATATAATGCACCCATGGATACCATGTTACAGAAAGAAATATTCCCGGTAGTAATAGAATACTTAAAAAGAATACCACCAATATATATAATGGACTTGTTAAATAATACCAAACACCTTTTCGTTTCAAAATTCGTGTATACCATTTCATTCTATCAATTTCACTAATTGATCTACCTATAACACTATTTGAGGACACATTTTTCTCTTCTAATTTCGTATCAAATTGATAAGGTAAATTTAAAATAGGGAATGTCCAATCAAGATATAGAAACGAACTGATTAATAGTAATGCACCAAATGACAACCATATGTAAGATAGTTGTTGTAACGAGACCTTTCTTGCATCAATTAAAACCTAGAATAAGTGGATACAAAAAACATATTGAATCAAATTCAATTTTCTCTTTTTGAAGAGAAAAGACGTTGCAACATACTTGAAATATTGAATACCACATTGTAGCTGATGTACATGCTCCAGCAAATAAGGCCGATACAAATGCTCTTGATTTTGTAAAATAGCCACTTGATGAATAAGCTGTTAGTAATACCATAATACCACTCAAGGATGAAAAGGCTGTATGAACATATAACAATGAATCTCGTCCTACAAAAACAAAAAATAAAAATATTTCTACAAACATGTACACACTTACCAGGTGCAACGAACGCTAATGCTAACCATCCGATAATATGAAAAATTCTAAACAAAATAGAATATTAACAATAAACAAAAGAAATAGATAATATTTACATTGAAATTAATTTAACAAATCGACATCCAAATCGATCAATCGATGGACCAATAATTAATGATGGAATTTCAAATAAAATAATACCTAATGTTAATGCATTCTAAAATCAATAATAAATACATAGATCAAAATTTATGATTGATGTGACATGCGAACATACTTGATAATGTCGTGTTTGATATCTTTCACAAGACGATTCTTCACTTTCTATTGTGTTTGGTGATGATGAACAATCATTGTTTTCACCATAAATGTTATATTGAGGTAAAATTTGAAATAAAGCTGGAAATCCAAATATTGTACCACCAAATAAATTCACTTCAATCAGAAGCCATATAACACCAGACCATTTTCGAATTAAATGAGGAGTTTTCTTTTTCATAGATGTTGTTGTATCAATCATTTTTATTTATAACTCAAAAAGAGAAAAAAAAATGAAATTCAATGTATTAAATATATATACTACGAGAAAAAGATAAAATACTTCTGAATTTGGATTGAAATTCGCCGAAAGATATATTGTCTAAATAGTATATCACGATTTTATTACAAAAAAAAAACTAAATCATGGACCTTATATTTGTCGATTTTAACGATTTTAGACTTTTACCTTTATCTGTTTTCATCGAATATATTTATTGATACTGCTTTCTTTTCTGTGAATCTTTGCCTTGTATTGTGATATATGTTCACGTCATTTTTTATTGCAGAACAGACAGTGACGTACTTACTTTCTATGTCAAATATAAGAAATGTTGATGGATTAATGGCATAAAAGATATAGAAACAAAGCAATAAAAGAAATCGTTGATACATATTTTATAGTTATTATTATTGACTTGGTATGCGTCACTTCTTCATTCGTCTGATATCAGTAGAGTTCTAGTGTTTTATCCAACTCAAGTACTAATATGCCTATAAAAGGTCGGATGAATTTTCAGAATTTCTACATTATACAAAAAGAACCAAGAGAAGTTATAAGTCAATACAAACCATTTATTATTACAGTACAGTTAGCTATTTATCAATTCGCATATGGATAAAACTGGTCGATCACATTTTTCAGGTTTGTTCTTACTTGTCTTTGAGAAAAATTAAATATTATTTTGTGGATTTCTAGAAATACAAAATACATCACTGTTCGGTCGATGTGATAGTTTAAGTCAAGAACAAATACAACAACAACAAGAAGAATCGGATAATATACAAACATCATTAATATCAATTCCGTCTAAAGGAAGACCTTTTTGTCGACAATTCAGTGAACAAAATGTTGGTAAGTCTGATGAAAAATATAATTTTATAAGAAAATATTATTTATTTGGCGGTGATACAGATGATAAAGGAGTACACCACTTATTTGACGAAGAAAAAGAAGATCTATCTTTTCCTGGCGTTATGGAAAGACTTCCATACAAAATTGCTGATATCAAACTAGCAGAAGCAGGTAGAAAAGCCTTATCAATGGCTGAATTTGAAATGCCAGGAGTAATGCGATTACGAAAAATATATGGTCCTACAAAACCATTGAAAGGTGTTCGTCTTGCTGGATGTTTACATGTGACAGCACAAACAGGAGTGATGATTGAAACATTACGTGAATTGGGGGCTGAAGTAAGTCATCTTTTTATCTTATTTAATGTTTATATTTAATTCTTATTTTATAGATTCGATGGAGTTGTTGTAATCCATTATCAACACAAGATCATATTGCAGCTGCATTAGTTAAAGCTGGTATATCCATTTT